GATTTCTGTGCTTCGTCCATATTCATGTTCCTTGCACTCAGACTTTCGTTGCCCATTTTCTTGTGCCGGTTTACGACAGAATTTCGCTCCTCAAGTTGTTTTGAAAATATGGATCACAAAACAAAAAGAAAAACAAAAAAAAAAAGGATCACAGACTGACAGACAGACAAACATATTTGAACACCGTATAGATATCGCTGAAAGAGAGGTTACATAATTGTAGAGAGATATCCAGAAAAGACAAATTATGGCAGTGCATCTTTCCATGTTGTAGCAGAAGATTCATTCTCATTTTGCACATTTAGTGAGTGGTGGAGCAAGGCACAAAAAGATATAACGGAGTCTCTCTCTGACGTCCGACGACAAATTATACGAAATGAGATGAAATTTTGTCAACGACCCGGAATAACTCGTGGGCAATTCAAAAAAAAAAAAAAAAAAAAAAAACCTCGTTGTGTAATTCCTCCCGCCCTGTCAGTGAACACCAGCTGAGATCTACTTTCCTGTTCGTGTCTTCCCACGCCTACAATTCTACAGAGCAAACAAAACTGGATCGAACACATATCCTCGATATCCGACTCAAACACATCCCCTTTCCTCGCTCCATTTCTAGTCATTGTCGTCCCGATCCCGACGGTATCCTCTGGAGAGCAAACCAAAACTTGTGATCAYATTCTCTGTCCTCTTCCGCTGCTGACACAACTCACCTACCTCCATATACCAACTATGCCTCACCCTCATTGTGGCCATCAACCATCATTGACCGTAAGGAACAGCACCGGAAAAAAAAACAAAACAAAAAAACAAAACAAAAAAAAAAACAGATTTTTACTGGCAACGTCGATTTCATCCACTTTCTTCCTCATGATATATTGAGCGAACGAACCCGAGACATCATTTGCTACGTAGAGACGGCGGAAGTTCTATATCTACACAGGCCGAGGCCCAACTAGAGCGTCCAATCCAGACCAAATGAATGAAGGGGCGAACAGAACCCCGTATCTTAAAAGAACATGGGAGAAAAAAAATAAAAAATAAATAAAGAACCCGATAAAAAATAAATAAAGAACCCGGTATTATCTAGTCAGTGGCTTGCGACATGTGTCTAAATCCTATAAAATAAAGCGCCGCGCCTATCCATACGTTCTCAAGACAACGAGAAGAGAAGGAAAAAAAAGAACGAACCTCTCCACAACAACGTTTATCCTTCATCTGCATGCATGAATGCATGAAAATACTACTGACGTCCTAAAAAAAAGGGAGCTCAAAACTAAATACTATTGCCGTTCCTTCCCCTCTCAGAGCCAGTCCTTCCTTGTCCCTCCCACCCAACCTGGGAACACTACCTGTCGTAGCATCCAAGAGAGCCCACAAACACTCTTAAAAAAAGATGTGAAGCACATGGTCGTTGTCCACTCTCACCCTCAAGCGGCGGTTAGGGCAACCCCCACCTCCACTCCTAAGGTGTGGCGACGTTCTCCAATGCCTTGGGAGCGATCTCCTCACCGTCCACCCCTGGCTGGGCACCAACAACTTGYAAGCTGAGCAACGCCTCCTCCCATCGCCTCGCCGGTTCCTTCCAGGACAGATCTTGGGCCATGTCTGCCAGGATCATGGACTTGAACTCGGGTGTGTCATACACCTCGGTC